GGAAAAGGAACGAGGGAGTCTTGTCTTTGTTTGGGGTCTGGGATTTTTACTGGCGATTATGGTCTTGTGCACGTGTCTTCTCGGGAAACAGGAACCGGTCAGAGGAAGGATGGGGTCTGGGTGTTTTTCATAAGTCACTCATTCCCTGAAGCCAGGGGTCTTGGCCTTGAGATAGTGACAGTGGTCTTAAATATTTTCCTGTTGTTAGGCTGGTAGATGTTCAACAAAGGATAATAAACCACCTTTCTACTTACATAGTTCACGTGTACAAGGATGAACTTTTATTTATTCATCTTTATTTTTTTAAAGATTTTATGTATTTATTTGAGAGAAAGAGAGAGCACAAGTGGGGGAGTGGCAGAGGGAGAGGGACGAGCAGACTCCCCATTAAGCAGGGACCCCCACAGGGGGCTCCATATCAGGACGCCAAGATCATGACCTGAGCCCAAGTCAGATGCTTAACTGACTGAGGCACCCAAGCACCCCATGGGAGGAACTTTTATTAAAAAATATGTGGTAATAATGCTCTTAAAACAAAGCCAACTTTGGGCGCCTGGGTGGCTCAGATGGTTAAGCGTCTGCCTTTGGCTCAGGTCATGATCCCAGGGTCCTGGGATCGAGTCCCACATCGGGCTCCCTGCTCCTTGGAAGCCTGCTTCTCCCTCTGCCTCTCTCTCTCTCTCTGTCTTTCATGAATAAATAAATAAAATCTTTAAAAAAAAAAAAAACAAAGCCAACTTCTATTTATTTAAAAAATAAGTTTTGTGTGCTATTATTTGTGGCAAATTCTCAAAATTATTTGAGAATTGAGAGATACTGAAGTGTGAATTTTGTGTTTACCCACATCCCTCCCATACAGATACAAATGTAATGCTCCACCTTCTCGTATCCTGGTTACTCCTGTTGGTCCCTGACTCATTTGGACTTCTTCGTTGGGACTGAGAGCTAAATCTTATGTTGCCATTATTCTGACCTATAAAATGTCTCTATTCTGTCTTCTATAAACGTGCCTTTAAGCACCTCTTTACTCAGCACTAGATTGGTGATGCAAAAATTATGGAGATCTTACCAAACTCTGTGTGGTTTTCATATATTATTTAACTTATCCATATACATCATCATATTTCTAATATTACCTCGTGTTTCCTGAGCTGTCTTCACCAACCTCATTATACAGAAACTGAAAGTGAGATCCAGATGTAATCAGTACTAACCTCTGGAGTTTCATAGCATTAGTTCTTAAGACTCAAAGAACTTGCCCATAATAGTTTCCCGACTACAGTGTAATGAACTGCAGGGCATTATGCTAAGCGAGCTGAGCCAGACAGCAAAGATGGACACCCATGTGGTATGACTTATATGTCTAATCTAAAAAAGCCAAACTCACGGAAACTTGTAGAGTGTAGAATGGTGCTTTCCAGGGGCAAGAATTGGGTGGGGAAATTGGGAGATGTTGGCCAAAGGGTACAGACTTGCAGTTATAAGATGACTACATTCTGAAGATCTAATGCACAGCATTGTGATTATAGTTACAATACTGTATGAGATACTTCAAAGTTGCTGAGAGACTAGATCTTAAATGGCTCAGTCTGTTAAGCAAGGGACTCTTGATTTCAGCTCAGGTCATGGTCTCAGGGTCCTGATATCTGCATCCTGAGATTGATCCCAATCTCCAGCTCTGCTCTCAGTGCGGAGTCTGCTTGAGATTCACTCCCTATGCCACTCCCTCTGCTCTCTCTCTCTCTTTCAAAATAAATAAATAAGTCTTTTTAAAAAAAAAGAGCCACACACTTAACAAAGTAGTGAGGATTAGTGCTGTGTTAGCAAATTTTCTAATCATCTTTCCATAGTATAGAACTAATTGCTTGTAACATTATGGATATACCTTATTCTGGATTCTCTGGTTATGCCTATGTCTAAAGATGTCAGTGCCTGTGTGGAAGTAACAAATAAGTAAGATGAAGACATGGACCTATATTATTGACTCATTACATGCAGACGTTGCTAATGTCTTACTGGGACAGTTACATTGGCCGCCAACCGGTAGCAGGTACACTATGAGAAGCATATGAGTTACAGATATAGACAGTAACAGGAATGGCAAGGATTGGATTAGATAAGTTAATATAAATTATTTTGATATAACTTTCTCTGAATTTCTGTGGAAAGTCAAGAGAGATTTCTATAATGAACTTTTGCAAGTCATTAACCCAACCTCCTATTTTGGTCTTGAATTCCCTAGTTTCCACAGAGTGGTTACTCATCTTCCGCTCTCACAAACTTAGGCACATGGATTTCACAAATTTTATAGATCAGTCTATTCCATTTTTGGACACTCTTTTATTGATCTTAAAATGCCTCATTTAATACAATTCGCATCCTTCTTTTTAGTTCACACATTAGACTAAGAATTGCTTTTAGGAGCCAAGATAAGATCAAATCTAAGCTTAAATGCATTCCAGTTGTCTTAAGGAAAAGCAAAGTGCTAGAAGCTAGGCATCTTTATGCTTCTAATATTGACACCCATCTGTGCTTTGGCTTCAGTCTGATTAAATTACGCTCCTGCCATGTTGTTCTTCGTGAGAGTACCTAATTTATAGGTAAAATGTCCAAATAGGGGGCATCTGGGTGGCTCAGGTGGTTAAGCATCTGCCTTCGGCTCAGGTCATGGTCCCAGGGTCCTGGGATCGAGCCCCACATTGGACTCTATGTTCAGCGGGAAGCCTGCTTCTTCCTCTCCCACTTCCCCCTGCTTGTACTCTCTTTCTCTGTCAAATAAAAATAAATTTTAAAAAATGTCCAAATACTATTGGTTAATTGAGAGTATATTGTGACTAAAGGAAACATCCCCCATTTATTTGTTTGTTCGTTTTTTTCTACCTCCAGACCTCCTGCTACTATGTCTGAGAATCTCAGAAAGAATTTCACCCTGGACAACGAGGAGTCTCATTGTCCTACGCGGGCTTTACTGGCCATCTGAAAGAGTTCCACAAAAGCCTTCTACAGTGGCACCTAGGTAGCCTTAGACATTGAATGACTTTTAGCTTGTGCAATTGTAACAAACATTTAAGAGTGCCCATATTCCTTCTTTTTTTAAAGATTTATTTATCCATTTGAGAGAGAGAAAGGGTGGGTGGGTGGGTGGGGCCTGAGGGTGAGGGAGAGAGAGAATCCCAAGCAGACTCTGTGCTGATCATGGAGCCAGATGTGGGGCTCAATCCCATGCCCCATGAGATCACAACCTGAGCTGAAACCAAGAGTCAGACACTTAACCGACTGAACCATCCAGGCATCCCAAGAGTGCCCAGTATTCTTGTATGGTCCGTCCTTGAAATGCATATCCTTATCCCGGTTTACTAAACAAGACACTTCAGTGATTTTGATGCAGGCAGGCTGCATCCAAGGGCCCAGACAGGGGTCCTGGTCGTGCAGGATCAGCCAAGAGTGTCCTTGGCTTCACACAGTATAGAAATCAAACCTGAGCCAGCAGGAGGTAAAAGCAGACTTTACTGAAATATATATAGAGAGATACAATGGAGCATCCAGGAGACTTGGAAAAGGAACGAGGGAGTCTTGTCTTTGTTTGGGGTCTGGGATTTTTACTGGTGATTGTGGTCTTGTGCACGTGTCTTCTCGGGAAACAGGAACTGGTCAGAGGAAGGATGGGGTCTGGGTGTTTTTCATAAGTCACTCATTCCCTGAAGCCAGGGGTCTTGGCCTTGAGATAGTGACAGTGGTCTGGAATAGGCACATAATGGCTCTGCTCAGTCATTCCGTATATATCATCTACGGTGCTGGAAGACTCCAATGATATCATCACATCTTTGTCCCTTACAAGGAGGACATATGCTATTTGCAGTACCAGGCATGTGTAGAGTGAGGTGGAGTGTAGGTGCTAGAAGAATAGAAGCCAGAAAAAAGAAGCAAAGGAAAAAACCTCAGCTTTTTCTCTTATGGAGTCCCTTTGGTTTTCCTGTCTCAATTTGATCATCAGCAAACTAGAGCAGAGTCAAGTTGTCAAATATCTTGTAAACACCCAGATAAGAGGTCCTTGGTAAAATTATTTTCCAAGTAATTTGTAGGTCTTTCATCTTCCCTTACACTTAGCATCCACAACTACTTTATGTGCTTACATATATGATACAAAAATGTATTTAAGGCACATACTTGAACCCAGTGATTTATTTTGCCTCCATGAATTTAATAAAAATTAACTGTTTTTGGTATCTCTTTCTTTACCCAGGTGGTATGGTGGTGTTGAGTAAAGAGATAAAAATGCACAGTCCTGGAACTCTGAGTATTCATTACCCCACACTGAGGGGAATGATTTAGGAAACAGTCATGGATTCAACAGTGCTCTCTGGCACAGGGTGGTGTATGAACCAAGCTTAACAAGGGCTGGAGGGAAGGAAAGCCTGTGGAGGAAGTGACTGAGTTGTGAATTGCAGCACTATAATCCAGCCACACTGGTTGTCTTTAAAGTCCACAGATGACTTGGTCCTGTGCCCCTGAGGACCCTCTAGTTGCTGATCCATCAGCATAGAATGCTTTCTCTACCTACCTGCATCTATCAGCTAATCCCTACTTAGCTTTTAGATCCCAGATTAATTGTCTGCATTTGCAAGAAGTACTTTTTAACCTCTGTTTTGTTTGGGGAGGCAAAGGAATGCTCAGAGTCTGAGTTTGTCTTTGCTAGCCGTTTATTTAACACAAGCTCACTGTGCGAATTTCACGAGCCTACAGCATATACAGTAATGTCTTTTAATAAGACAATAAAGGAATTACATATTCCAATCAATGATAGATTAATTGCACTATTGTTCCAGGCAGGGGGAGATGAAAGGAATGAAGTCCAAATTTAGTTGAAGTGGAATTTATAGGAGTTGGTACTCAGGAGAGATAGCTTAGCCACCCCAGAGCTGTCATCCAGCTGCCAGTGCAAAAGTAAAAGTCCCAATTGCTAGAGGGCATTGCTAGGGAATGACAGAGTCAGTGTTGATGAGCAGAATGATCTTCATGGGCTGGTACCTGGCTCTCGGCTATCACCACTGCCAGTAGAAGAGTCACCTTTACCAGGAAGGAGCTCATTGCTCCAAGGTCATTGGAGAGTTAATTTTTTTAAATTAAATTTAATTTTTAAAATGTTTTATTATTGGGGTGGCTGCATGGCTCAGTCATTAAGCGTCTGCCTTCGGCTCAGGTCATGGTCCCAGGGTCCTGGGATCGAGCCCCGCATCGGGCTCCCTGCTCTGTGGGAAGCCTGCTTCTCCCTCTCCCACTCCCACTGCTTGTGTTCCCTCTCTCGTGGTCTCTCTCTGTCAAAAAAATAAATAAAATCTTAAAAAATAAATAAAATAAAAGTTTTATTATTGAGTATAGGTGACATGCAATTTACATTGGGCTCAGATGTGCAACATAATGATTCTACGCATTTCTCACTACTCACCATTAGTATGTTCCTTATCTGTTGCCAATAATGTTATTGCAACTTTATTGACTATATTTCTTTACTGTACTTTTTAATCTCTGTGACATAGTTTATAACTGGAAGTTTGTGCCTCTTAATCCCCTTCACTAATGTTGCCCACCTCCCCAACCCACAATCCCTTTGGGAAACACTAGTTTCTTTTCTGTATTTCTGCTTTTTGTTTGCTTGTTTATTCATTTTTTTTTTTAGATTCAACATATAAGTAAAAGCATATGGTATTTGTCTTTCTCTGTCTGATTTATATCACTTAGCATAAGGTTCTCTAGGTCTGTCCATGGCTGCAAATGGCAAGATTTCATTCTTTTATATGACTGAATAATATTCCACTTCATCCATCCCACACCTTCTTTATCTGTTTGTTTATTAATGGACACTGGCTTGCTTTCATATCTTGTTTACTGTAAATAGCACTGCAGTAAACATAGAGGTGC